CCAGAAGGTCACAGTTTATATAGACAGCAGGAGGGAGTCAGCAGATAATTAAGTATGCAGATGGTTTACTGAGAAAACCACAGGGTGGGTTGTTCCGGTAAATGGAAAATTCCCATTATCTATGGCAAGTTGTAAAGTTACCTACACCCATAGTGCACAGGAAGGGGAGGGACGGAAGATAACAGCAAACAAGGCTCTGAGGCCTCGAGGCAATAGCTGGGCGGGCTCTTTGGCTCCGGACAGGCAGGCAGGCTCTTAGGCAACAGCCGGGCTCTATGGCTCCGGACAGGAACTGGGTATTTTATAAAGAAAACAAAATTTATTGCTTACAGTTTCTGAACCTGGGAAGTCTAAAGTCCAGGGAACACATCTGGTGAGGGTCTTGGTGGTGGCAACAGTGACTGAAAGGGGTCTCACGTGACAGAAAATGGCAGAGCAGAGAGAGAGCCTAACCTTCTCATTCACTCTCCCTCTAAAGCTCTCCAAATCATGCCCATGACCACCACTTTTAATCCATTCATTATTGCATGGTCCCACCTTCAACCACCACAATAGGATTTCCCAGCCTCTCAACACTGTCACAGTGGGGGTCAAGTTTTGAGGGGACACTTAATCCAAGGTACCTGCCACCTCTGGTTCTGTTGCTTGCTCTGTCTCTTCAAACTGTTTTTTGCCATTAAGTGTGCCTTGTAATTTTTTCTTGATAGACAGACGGACATGATGTACTATGGAAGAGGAACTGCTGTAGATGACCTTTACTTATGTGGTGGGGAGGTAGGAGTGGGGGTGGGGTGCCTCTAGTCCTGTGATTAGGCCTTTGTCTTTTAGTGAGCCTGGACCCCTGGACTTTGAACTTCACAAGTGTTCCTCAGTTTCCCCCCCTACTTATCTGGAACAGGGTGGCTAGAGCTGGCTGGTTGGGTGTTTCCCTTCCTCCAGGTAGGTTCGGCTCTGATGAAACCCAGGCAGGTTAGGCTCTGGTTAAATAGTTGTCCTGAGGGCAGACTTTGTTTCCAAGAACAAAGTGCTCTAGTGTATTTTAAAATGGTTCCTTTTACCTTCTTCCTGCCGGAAGTGCAAGGAGATTTTTCTCGGATGTTCAGTGTGAGAACCTGGTTAAGTTCTTGGAAGTGAAACTCACAAAGGTGTGGGGGGTCCCTGTGACTGAGCCCCTTGGAGTTTTTAACTCTCGCATTTGTCTACGTTGAGCCTCCAGGAGTCTGTCAGTGACAGCTCAGATTTCCCAGCCCTGGTACTGGTTCCCACCCAGGTTTTAGCTTATGAATCTCTGCTCTGGTAAGTTGTGATTCACTGTACCGTCCTGTTGGTCTCCAGTTCTGGGGGCAGCAGTTTGCCATGTAACCTTACTTCTTTTAGGGATCTAAGAAGAATTGTTGGTTTTTCAGTTTGTTCAGCTTTTTACCTGTTGTTAGGATGAATGTCAAGCTCCTCACATGGGGAACTGGAAACCGGAATTCTCTACCACTGTGTTACTTACAAATTTTGAGGTTATTTGATTAGGGTATTCAAGCTTAACGTGGTTATATTGTCATGGGGCATTAAATCTTTTATCATGTTGTGGCCCACTCTATGCCTAAGAATATCGGTGAACACGCCACCCCCACTGCACTGCACAGCTGGCACTGGCCTGGGTCCTGCAGTCCCATGGCCCCCAGGGCTCCTTTCCCAAGGAGGCCAAACTCCAGACCTGACATCTATCCTGTCTCTCCATTTTTTGTGGCCTGTGTTTTAGCAGTATCTCTTGTCATCAGCTCAGGGCTGGAATACTGATCTGAAATTATGTACTTACTCTCTGTCTTTCCTTGGTGAGCTGGTTCATTTGTCTCTATTAGACCTGTGTCAGTTATCTCACTTTATTTCTTTCTCTTAGTTTTCTTTTTTCTTTCTTTTATTGAAACATAATTGATTATACATATCTGAGGAGTACGAAGTTGACTAACAGTATTTGTGTATAATACGCGATGACCAAATCAGGGTAGTTGGCATATTCGTCACTCTTAGTTTTCTTTTCATGCTTGGTTTATAAGCCTTCTCGGCCTTTGTGGTGCTGGTGGTAGTGGTTCATTTTCTATCCTTTACTAGTTTACACATTTCCATTTCTGTTTTTTCAGAGCTTACCTTTGAAATTGTACTGTGCATATTTAACTGAGTGACCATAAATAGTCGCTCAGTCCCCTTTCCCAAGAAATATAAGGATTTTAGGACATTGTAGCTTGATCAAATCCCCCTGACTTTTACACTGTTGTCCCTATTTTAAGTCCGTCGTTTTAAAAGCCCTGCTTATTAGATGTTATTATTATTATTTGTTTAGATTTACTCACCCTCTCGCCTCTCCATCTTTAATTTCTAGGATAGCTTTTCATTTTCCTGAAGTGTGTCCTCTAGACTGGCACCTCCTAGCGTTAGTGAGCAGCAGTCACCTGGGGCTTGTCAAATGCAGACTGCAGGGGTGGGAGGCAGCAGGGAGCTTCTGCTGTGGCCAGGTTAAGGGTCTGCCTTTCTAGCAGCTCCCAGGGGCTTCAGACCATGCTTTAGTGGACCCCACTTCTACAGTTTTAATTGATGTTGCTAAATTTTAAATAGACCAAATTTTGATGTCACGCAGACTTTCCTGGAGACAAGGTCACCTAGAGTGCTTGTTGGAAGAGAGGCATTTCCAGACCTGCTGAAGCCAGAATTACAGGGCGGGGCCTGGTGATCTGTATGTTTGACCAGAGCTTTAAGTGTTCTTATCGTCAAGCAAGTTTTAGAAACAGTATTTTAGAAGCATCTTTGGGAAGCTCAGCTTTTGTATGCCTTGAAATGTATATATTTCACCATGTTTTTAAAGTTGTTTCCTCTGAGCACTCCGGGATTATTCTGCTGTCTTTTGGCTTCCATTGTTGGTTGTTGAGAACAGCAGGCTGCCCTTCAAATTGCCTTTCCTTTGAAGTTAAATATGTCTCTTCTTTCTGGCTCCTTATAAAAATACTCTTTTTTTTTGTTTTGGCTTCCATTGTTGGTTGTTGAGAACAGCAGGCTGCCCTTCAAATTGCCTTTCCTTTGTAGTTAAATATGTCTCTTCTTTCTGGCTCCTTATAAAAATACTCTTTTTTTTTTCTTTTCTGCTATTTCACTAAACATTATAAGAGATTTATTTTTACTTGCCCTGTCAGATATTTTTTGTGCCTCCTGAGTCTATGGATTGTTGTGTCTTCAAGTATCCCCTGTGCTCTGCCCGCTCCCTCGTCTCCTCTGGGATTCCAGTTAGATGGGAGCCAGGATTTCATCCTGGCCCCCTCAGTGTCTCAGCTTTTCTTTCCCATCTTCCTTCTTGTCTCTGTTTCACTTTGGATGACGTCGGTTCTTTCTTCCTGTTCACTAATTCTTTCTTCAGCTGTCTTACCTATCCTATTGAGTCTGTTTATTTCATTGGTTAACATATTTTATCTCCGAAAGTTTCATTTGTTTCTCTTTTCCGTTCTGCCTGGGCCATTGTGGTAGCATCTTATGGCTTACTCATCTTGTGATTCTGTCTTTAAATATTTAGTGCTTGTGAAAATTTTGTATGTTTGTTGTGTATCTGATTACTCTCGTATCTAAAGCAAGTGTCTGTTTGTCATCTCTGCCGACTCCTGTTCACAGTTGCTCGTGTCTGTGGGCATTTGGCAACCTTGACGAGTTCTATTCCTGCAGGGTCATGATCTGTGGCAGTCCTGACAGCCAGAATACAGATGCCTCCCAAAGAGCCAGCCCCATGTGGGTGGTGCCATTTCAGCCTCCTTAGGGGTTCCTGTCCCTGCACTTGGGGCAGACCTAGTGTTTGCTTTCTGGGCAGCAGTCCTGAAAGCCTTTACCTTTCCATTGCATGCACCTGCCTTTCCTGCTTGTCTGCCCCTCGCCTGCACTTGGGGCAGACCTAGTGTTTGCTTTCTGGGCAGCAGTCCTGAAAGCCTTTACCTTCCCATTGCATGCACCTGCCTTTCCTGCTTGTCTGCCCCTCGGGTGTCTGCCATGGTGGGAAGGGGTAAGAGCATCCTGGCAGGTTTACTGTACCACCTGTAAGCCCAGCAGCACATTAGCAAGTCTGCTTTCTCTGGGAGCTCTTAGCAGGGAGTACCTCAAGAGCCTGGCCTACAGTGTGCCCTGGGCCCTTTCTCTGTCAGCATGTGGGTGCTCAGTCCACCCTGTGTGGCCTTGCTCTCTGCCTGATTGTTTTCCTGCACTTTCTCTCTCCGCCCTTTGTTCTTTGCCTCCCACTCCCATGGTAGACTGCAGACTGCCTGCTTGTCCCCATGTTGGTCACTACTCCAAGATAACATGCTGAAACACTAGATTCCTCCACGGAATGTCAAAGATGTTTCTCCTTTCTGACATGAGTGCAGTTGGAGCATGTCTCACACCGACTGTGAATGTACTCAGGGGATACAGGTCACACAGATGCTGTGCCGTGGTGGACTGGTGATGGTGTGTGAAATGGGGCCAGTGACTTCAGTCAGTGGCATCTGGAGGACAGGGAGATGGGGCCTTTGAGAGCTCCAGGACCAGAACACTGCCCATCTCTTGTAACCGCTGGCGTCTCCTGTCATGAATCTTTTTAGAATGTACTGAGTGTCCATGGTTTAGGTGACAAACTGCATGTGCTCCTGCCCCACCTCTGCCTATGATCCCACCCCACGGGGGCCCAGCTATGTTGCACATCCTCCCCAAGTCCACCCTGACCCTCCAATATACCATGCCTCTGAACCTGTGGATGTTTTGGGGTCTGCTCCCCTGAGTTCATGTGAGAACCTCCCATCTGTGGGGTCTCATGTTTGTCTCAGCTGAGCTGCTCATGTGAGCATTGCTGTCTCCCTGGGAGATGGTGACTCTTTGTGGACCAGGGCTGTGCAGGTCATGTCTTTGAATCCAGGGCACTGATCGACTCCCACCAGCTGCACTGCATGTGCTCACAGGACACCTGTGGCCCATGCATGGATGTTCTATTCCTTTTTCTTTAGGTATTGCTGGAAGAGGCAAAGGATTTGCTTTCTGACTGGCTGGATTCCACACTTGGCAGTGAGGTGACAGACAATTCTATTTTCTCCAAGCTGCCCAGGTTCTGGGAAGGGGAATTCCACAAAGACATGGAAGCTCTGAATGTAAGTGTCACAGACTGTCTTGTCCTCACTCTCTTGGTCGAAGGGCCCTGATCTCCAGAGTCCCGTTTTGGTGAAACTGAAAGGCCTCACGCAGTCCACACCATCTTCATTTTGCAAGCTCCGTTAAGTTACTAAGTCAACATTGACCTTGAGCTGAGGGGCATAGGGGCTTCTTATTTTACCAATTGGTGACATTGTTTTCATAGAGCATGTTTGTATGAGGCTGAAATTTACAGAAAGGAAAATCCCAGGACCCTCTTGTGTCATGTACAGGTTCTCCCTCCGGATGTCTTAACGCGTGTTAGTGAGTACGTGCCAGAAATCATAAACTTTGTCCAGAAGATTGTGGACAACGGTTACGGGTAAGAAGGGGGCAGTTCCCAGGGCTTCACACTGCTCCTGGGAGAACAGCTCCCAGCTCTGAGATGGGCACAAAAGCAGGAGAGCTCATGTTCTGGGTCCCCCGGCCAGATGGGCAGCCCTTTCGTGCTCACCCGCACAGCATGGCACTTGCTTTGGCCCCTTGGTTCCCAGTGCTGCAGCTGTAATTTAGGATTGCTTTGTAAATAAAGCGTGATGGGTTTTCCTTTCGTGTAAGCTGCCGTTGCAACAGGTGGCTAACCGTACAGACCCACTTTCTGTCGTGGCAGAAGCAAGAGGGCAAGGGTGTGACTGCTGCTCTTAGCCCTGTCCGTGAAGCCTCCTGCACACTTCCTCTCACAGCTTGGGCCCCGCCCAGGGCTGAGTAACAGGGTCTGGCTGACCAGCCCTCTCGATGGGGCTGGTGGCCTGCCCTCAGGACACAGTGAGGACACAAAGTCTGCTAGAGAGCTCAGCAGTTAAGACCATTGGTCATGGGGCCCCAGAGCAGCACAGTAGGGAGTGTGGACACTGCTGGGTCTTCAGAGATGTCAGTACCATGCAGACATTTTGAGAGTGGAGGGCCACTCTGCAGAGCTGTGGGGGCCCGGGCTCAGCTGCAGGTTGCTCCCCTCCACACCTGCCAGGGAGATGAGTCAGGCAAGAGCTGCTCAGTCCCAAGGAATGAGGCATGCAGGGCTCCACACACAGTGCCTGGGGTCACGTGGGCTCTTAAGTGAAAATGCTGCCTGTCCGTCCCCACTTGACCCAAGTCACTGCAGGGCAACATGAGATCGTGTGCCAGGCTGAGGGCCAGGGACAAGCCCAGGGTCAGAGAAGACAGGCGTTGTGGGCTGGAATGATCTGGAGGCTCTCGGGGCCTTGACGGGGCCTGAGCTGGGCCGTACCATTAGGGTAGACTCAGAGAGTAGGGAGGCACGCCGCACATGACAGTGTCTTCCCCGAGCACAAGGGCAGGCCAGAGTGTGTAGTCACAGAATGTGAGGCAGGGGTCTGCGCAGGACATGACACTCAGGGCAGTGAGGAGCCGCCTCTGTGGAGGGGGGCATCCTTGTCGTGCCCCACTCAGCCCGCAGAGCTGATGTGGTCTTGAATAGCTGCCATGGGAGAGTGGAGAGAGCAGAGGCTTGAGTGCATCACAGACTATAATTTTATAACCCATTTTGATTTTCGATTGTTGTCCCATGAAGTGTCTTTGGATCTGTTGGATTCCTCCCCAATTCCTTTGTTTATTTTCCAGCTATACTTCAAATGGGTCTGTCTACTTTGATACAGTGAAGTTTGCATCTAGTGAGAAACACTCCTATGGGAAGCTGGTGCCCGAAGCTATTGGGGATCAGAGAGCTCTTCAAGAAGGGGAAGGTAAAAAAAAAAATAAAAAAAGAATGAACGAATGGATAAAAGGAAAGGTAACCTGTGGATTTTTCCACTTGCACAGTTTGAGTTATGCTTAACCCTTCACTTAGACTCACTGGGAACAGTGCTTTTTCACCTAAAGGAATTTTAGGAGTTTACTACACTAAGATCATGAAGTGCGTTATTTTTTAAGAAACAAAAAAGATGAGTAGATACAGTGCCATCTTTTTTTTTTTTAAGATGACCGATAAGGGGATCTTAACCCTTGACTTGGTGTTGTCAGCACCACGCTCAGCTAGTGAGCAAACCGGCCATCCCTATATGGGATCCGAACCCATGGCCTTGGTGTTATCAGCACCGCACTCTCCCAAGTGAGTCACAGGCAGGCCCGACATTTACGTTTTTAATTGTAGTTTTAAAAAATCAAAGGTTGAAAGTTAAGTGAGCTAAGTCAGTCAAAAAGCTAGAAAAGGAACAAAAGTAAATGGAAAGAAAATACAGAAGAAGAAATAAAGATAAAAGCAGAGATTAATGAAATAGGAAAACTTCTAGTAAGTCTGATTAATGAAAGTAGAAGATTCAGAAATATAGTTGGACAAAACTGAACATAACTACAGATGTAATAGAGAGTTTTAGAAGGTCTTCAGAGGAAACCGGAACAATGCGCCTGCATCTGACTCACAGCTGCAGAGGACAGGCGGGGACTAGGAGAGGGGCCAGTGACTGGTGAGCGGAGGATGCTCTCAAGTTCACCTGGAGAAGGGATGTTCCAGAGGCGGCAAGAGCACACTCACTCCTCACCATGGCTTTGTGATCTAACCCCATCTGGGTTGTCCTTTTACTTTATATTATGTATTCTTGGACCTGTTTTCTTTCAGAGTGATTTTAGAATTGGTTTAAGTTCCAGGAACAAGAGGAGTAGAATCCAAAGCAAATAAAAGGGAAGAAGAGGGGCACGCCCTCCCTCTAAGGACATGTCTCCCCCACCCCCAGACCAGTCACTTGACCTTGCTTCGCTGTAAGGGGACCTGGGAAGCGCAGCCACCTGCTGCTAACAGTCAGGGACTCTGATAGTGGAGAAGAAGACAAGAGGTGGTAACACTGGGGACCGTTAGCGGGAAGGCAGGTGGCAGGCAGGCATGTGATGAGTGTGCGCAGTTGCATTGGTCAAAGCCAGAAATAGTCGCTCTGCCTCTGGGGTGGGAGATGAGCAGTGACACCAGGATGGAGAGCAAAACGGGCTGTGTGATCTCTCTCTTCCTTAAACGTGACACAGAAGATGAACATCACCAAATGATGACATTTGTTGAGGGATACAGTGTGTGTGTGAGACAGTGAGATCAAAATATAATTAGATATCAACATTCATGAGTAACTGTGCTCATAGTAATGAAAAATTAAAAACCTAAATGTACGTTATCTGTGAAATACAGGGTGTCTAAAAGAGAATATCCTGGAACCATGTCAAGTTGTGGTTTGCAGGAATTGCTGATTGACAGAACAGTGTGAAGATGGGGAATAGGATGGACATTGTCCCGATTGCCAGATGTATCTGTGTTTTGCTTGAATAGATTTTTTTTTTTTTTTTAATCTGCAAATTAGTACGACAAAATGTTAGTAATCATTCCTGGGTTAAAAGATTATGGGGATTTTTTTCCTAGTTTAAGTATTTTGTGTTTAGTACATGTTTTATAATCGTAAAGTTTTTAGCAGTGCTTTTTCTCTTGACTCTGTTTCTCAGGGTAGCTTAGGTCCATTGCCTGGTTACTTACCTGAAAAGTGGATTTGTTTCCTGAAAAGGTTGAGGGCACCTGAGTTAGGGCCTAGAATGGAGTCTGTCTCTCCTGTTCCAGGGTCTTCCACAAGGGGGCAATGGTGCCCAGGAGGAGGCAGCACTTAGACCAGGACCCAGGAAGGGCAGCCGGGCCAGGCATGACACTGGCAGCTTAGCTCTGCCCGTTCACAGAACTGAGGGCAATTTTCTCTGCCTGAAGGCTGGCCTGACTTACAGGTTTCCATGTTCACAGCCCCTCATATTTTCCTTTGTGGGCGGTCTAGAGAAATCGCCATGATGACAGTGTCTTCCTTCTTTGGGTACCCTGACCATCTTGCACCCTGTGTGCCAGTTAGCCAGTGTCTCCAAGAGTACATAGAGCTCACTGGGAACGTTCCTTCTCACTCCTCCTGTGAGACACAGACCAGCTGTCTCCATGAGCCAGGTGGCGGCTGGCTTTGTCCAGGAGGTTGAACTTGCAGCAGGAAGAGCAGTGCTGCCCTTGCTCATGGCCTTCCTGGATCCATCTTTAGCTCTCTTTACCTCATTTCCCCTTCTGAGCAGGTGGAACAGCGAGTGACCCTGCTCCCCACCACCACACCACTTCTAGGCTCCATGAAGCAGCATGCAGCCACTGAGCTGTGTCCTCCTACCTCCTGGAACCCCCGAGCCAGTAGTGTGCAGGCTGTTAGCACGGTGGCTGCACCTGCAAGACCCAGGGCCCCTGAGCTGCGCCCCAGTGACTGCCACTGCCACCTCACTTCCTAGCATTAGCCCAGAGTGCCATCGCTCTTCCTAGACACATGGAAGGCCCAGACGTGAGGAGGCAACTGGAGGACAAATGTCTTAGGTGACCTCAGGTGTGGCTTCAAGCCAGCAGGGTGTGCTCCGACACTTGAACGTTAAGTTAGTGACTTTGAAGCTTATAACAGTGTTTTGTAAATCTAGACACAGGGTCAGCACCAGAATCTGGTCAGAACGAACCTTAAGAAGTGCTTGAGCCCAGTTCATAAACAGAAATTAGTGAGCAGGATTGACCTCGAGACAGCAGGACAGCCTTAAAGTGAGCTGCATCCAACTGCAGGGCATTGCCCAGTGACCCTGCCCTGCTTCTCTTGTGTCCACAGGCGACCTGAGCATCTCAGCAGACCGCCTCAGTGAGAAGCGCTCTCCCAACGACTTCGCCCTGTGGAAGGCCTCCAAGCCGGGAGAGCCGTCCTGGCCCTGCCCTTGGGGAAAGGTGAGCGATCCTGAGAAGGTGCAGGGGCTGGGGGGGGGGGGGGGGG